AATTAGAATATTACTTACGACCGATACAAAAAGAATTTCTTGAAATGCTGGCCAACTGAAAAGTATGAACATGAAAAGTATGAGCATGTACAGCACTCAATACTTAGTTGGGGCTCCTTTTGCCTGAATTACTGCAGCAATGCGGCGTGGCATGGAGTTGATCAGTCTGTGGCACTGGTCAGGTGTTATGAGAGCCCAAGTTGCTCTGATAGTGGCCTTCAGTTCTTCTGCATTGTTGGGTCTGGCGTATCGCATCTTCGTCTTCACAATTCCCCATAGATTTTCTATGTGGTTAAGGTCAGGCGAGTTTGCTGGCCAATTAAGAACAGGGATACCATGGTCCTTAAACCAGGTACTGGTAGTTTTGGCACTGTGTGCAGATGCCAAGTCCTGTTGGAAAATAAAATCTGCATCTCCATAAAGTTGGTCAGCAGCAGGAAGCATGAAATACTCTAAAACCTCCTGGTAGACCGCTGCGTTGACCTTAACCCTAGGAAAACACAGTGGACCAACACTAGCAGATGACATGGCACCCCAAACCATCACTGACTGTGGAAACTTTACACTCGACCTCAAGCAACGTGGATTCTGTGCCTCTCCTCTCTTCCTCCAGACTCTGGGACCTTGATTTCCAAAGGACATGCAAAATTTACTTTCATCAGAGAAAATAACTTTGGACCTCTCAGCAGCAGTCCAGTCTTTTTTGTCTTCAGCCCATGCGAGACGCTTCTGACGCTGTCTCTTGTTCAAGAGTGGCTTGACACAAGGAATGCGACAGCTGAAACCCATGTCTTACATATACCTGTGCGTGGTGGTTCTTGAGGCACTGATTCCAGCTGCAGTCCACTCTTTGTGAATCTCCCCCACATTTTTGAATGGGTTTCGTTTCACAATCCTCTCCAGGGTGCGGTTATCCCTATTGTTTGTACACTTTTTTCTACCACATCTTTTCCTTCCCTTCGCCTCTCTATTGATGTGCTTGAACACAGAGCTCTGTGAACAGCCAGCCTCTTTAGCAANGGTCCAACAGTGACAACCTGAGACCAGTAAAACTTGATCTCTGGATTTTTTATGAACATCTAACAAAGCTACATCCTTGTTGGTACCTGCTGCAGCTCCTCCTCTCTGTGCTGGTGTCTGAGCTCCATGCTGAGGAGCTTTCTCTCCAGGCTGCACAGTAGTTTCACCTCTGGGCTCTGAGCTTCTTTAGCTTCCTTTAGTTCCTGCAGCAGTCGAGTTAGCTAAACACAAGGTAAAAGCAGACGTTAAAATCATGAGGAAAAATAATAACATTTGATCTCTGCTGAAATTAAAAGTGATATTTCAGGCCAGAAGTTCAATATTATTTTTTTTCTGTCCTGCAAAACTACTTGTGCATATATAGCTGCAGAGTTAAAAAAGAAAGAAAGAAAGAAAGAAAAAGCTGAGATACCTATTCCACATTTGGTGCTTATGTCCTCTACAATACATTCTAAATGCCTTTGCAAGTTCATGGGTTTATGTGGCAATAAGTCAGACATACTTCTGTATTGTTTGTGTCTGAGTATACGCACTACAACAATAAGGCAACGCTGTCAGAATCAGGTCAACCTGCAAATGACAACACTACCACTACACTCACTACTAACAAAATACACTTGAGACATGACATTTATTTTCTTTTAAAAACAACATACTTTAATGAATACCAGGGAGTTGAGTTTTTTACTAAAAAAGGGAAAGACGTAAGGTTAGTATTAGGTTGCTAACAACCCTGATTTGCATTTGAGGGTAAACTAATAAATATAATGATATAGCTAAAAAAAAATAAAAAACCTCACCAAAATATAATATAAATCTATAAATAAAGTATTGCACCAGGATGAGCAGGTGCCATGTGCAGTATGGGGCAGTATCCTTTGATTGATTCTAGCTTGCAGTGTTGTGCAGCAGGAAGTTGCCCCTATCTCTACTCCCCTTTCCCGTCTCTATCCAGTAAAGGCAAAATGATTTTTTGGCTTCTATCTATAGCCATTCTGCTGTCCCTATTCCAACCACTCCCTCACCCTCCTCATTCTTACCCTCACCCCAACCGGTCGAGGCAGATGGCTACCTTCCCTGAGTCTGGTTCTGTCTGAATTTGTTTTTGTTGTCCTTCCTGGTAAAGGTAAGGTTTTTGGGTCTTCCCACTGTTGCCAAGTTTTTGCTCAAAGGAAAGCCAAAGAAAACTTTACATTTGTTGGGCTTCTTTGTTGAAAATTTGCTAAGTCTTGACCTTACTATGTGAAGTGCCATGAAATGATATATGTTGTGAATTGAAGCTATATAAGTAAATCTGAATTGAAAAAAAAAGAAAAAAAAGAATCACTGACATAACCGTTTTCTACTGGCTCACCTGCTTCTGCAGAGCATTTTCTCTGGTCCTGGATATTGCCAAGGCATCTTTGGAACCCTGCAGCTCTTTCAGCTGCTCCTTTAGCTGTTTTATTAGGATCTGTAGGTAGATGTGAAAATTAAAGCAACAGGATCATTTTCAGGAATTCCTGTTGTCATGAGGCTGGTTGGTTATTCAGACCATACCTCCTGAGTGCTGAGCTTATTGGTCAGTTCGGCAACCTTTGAGGATGAGTGCTCCAGGGCATGGCTTGCCCGCAGACGGTCCAGCACTAAGAGGTGTTCTGCCTTCACTGAAGACAGCTGCTCTGCAAGGTGCTCCTTCAGCCTAGCAAATCACATTAGAGCCTGTCATTCCTTTACATTCATGAGCATGTGTCAGTCAGTGTATTTACACAGATGCACATACTTGCCCAGCTCCTCCTTGGCTTGAACAGCATCAGCCTTTAGTGCTTCCTTCTCTTGCTCAGTCTGCAGCTCCAGCAGCTCTACACGCCGCTTCAGAGCCTCGTTCTCCTGCAGAACCTCTGAGATATGACTCCCTGCCAGAAGGAGGCATCGTTAAAATACAAGGTTCTGATATCTGTTACTGCCTTTACATAACAATTCAGCTATAGAGGCAGTTTTTCCATGTTTAACACACTCCTCTACAAAATTGTGACCACCCTCCTCCTGACTACAGCACTGCTTTCTCATCTTATGTGACACTGCAAGTGTCCTGCTTGGCTACAATAGAGGACAGTCCAAACGTCTTCTTTTTTTTACTTTTTTTTAAAACACAACAAATACCAAACATGTCAATTCAAGAATTTTTAGGAAATAACAAGGAACTGTCAGATCAAAAACAAAAATAAACCCTGATTGAAAACCGTTAAAAAAAAGCTAGCCAACAACCCATTCTGCTGCCTTTGTATGTGCCATTCTAAATGAAGTCATTAATGTTAAACAGTAGGTAAAGACAGCGGCTTAGCCTCAGCTAAAAAGCTTAGAGCTCCATTAATTGGTGTTACCACTAAATGGTAAATGGTCTGCACTCAAATAGTGCCTTTTAACTAGGTTCAGTTTTACAAAGCCCTTTACAAAGTGTTTCTCAATCTCCCATTCACACACCAGTTGCCTACCCTTAAGGGTAAATAGATCCAGGAGTAAATATTTACATTAATGGCTGATATTTTTAGTTTGATTACATATTACATCTTGTTGCCAACTTAATGCAGTGTTAATAAGCTACAACTATCCATGTTTGTACCTTCTGTGGTTGTAGTAATTGAATACATGATTCCTTTGCATTAGATGGTTATTAGCATCTGCTGTGTATCCTTTCTTACACAACAGAATACAGTTACCAAGGCATGCAGAGGAAAGTCAGCCATGGAAAATAATCTGTATTCACACCTGTAAAGACAGTTGGCTGGTAGGTCTTTTCATACTGAGCAGCTGGAAACGTTTCTTCCTCTGCACATGCCTCTCGTGCCGTAGAGGAACAGAGTGTTTTGGTTGGGCCTTGTGGTTGTTTGGTCTCTGTGGAACGTATCTCTGGTCGTGGGTTGGGGAAAGACAACATGTGCCTCCTCTCTTTCTGCAATCTGTCCACAGTGCGACTCAGCTCCTGAATGGTTCGTGTTTTAATGGCAACCTCTTGGTTCAGCCGCTCTATCCGAATGCCAAATGCTTCCTCAGCTTGACGCTGGTGTCGGCCTGGACTCGGCTGGGCCTTTTGGGGTGCAGGATTTACCTGAGTTTGTATAAGCAGTAAGATATAATTATACACAGTACAATCCACATATAATTATTGCCTACATAGTCCAGTATTTCAAAGTTTCAAAGAAACCTTGGTTTTTAAGAAGTCTATTGACCTTAGTAACTCCTATACCAACCTTGTGGTTGAGCTGCTGCTGAAGAGACTCAATCTGGTCCAGGAGAGAGTGCTCTTTCTCTTGGTGGTTCTCCTTCACACGTTGTAGTTCTTCCTCCAGAGTCTGAACCTTTGACATCCATGACTTTGACCCACCTTCTCCTTCATCCTGCTGTTTTTGTTTCAGCTGCTGCTCCATTTCTGAAATCTGCTGCTCGTAGCGGAGCTACACAGTGCACACAAACATACATGTAGTTATAGACAAAACCATCTGTCTCTGCCTCCATTTTCTTGAGCATTTCTGCTTATTCTTTTCATGAATTCTGTCTGAGAGCATATTTTGAAATGCATTGGATGCAGCATAGTGTCTGACTTTAGTGTATATCAACCAGAAAACACTAGAAACTATTCTATGACCCCATCTTAATTCACCATCAAAGGCCATTCAGGTAATATTGATCACAGTTATAATAATAATAATAATAATAATAATAATAATAATAATAATGATAAATAATAAACTTTATTTATAGAGCACTTTCCAAAACACATGTTACAAAGTGTTTTTCAATAAAATACATTTAAAACTGAAATAAAATAAAGTCAGCATTAAGTTGTTAGACACAAAGGTGGAGTTTTAGTTCAGTGGCATGCTGCCTTTTTGTCCTGTTAAAAAAAAATGTGCGCCAATTTGTCAAGTACAAATGTGATTTATGAACTATTCTCAAGTGGCAAACCCATGCTTTTACAGAGTCACTTCAGTAAAATGAGGAACTAAAACTCAAATTTCTTGGGTTACATACAATGCTTCCTCTTTAGGACATATTTTGATTGCACCAGAATTCAAAAAATGCACCTGGTTTATTACCATGAAGGCTGCTCAATACACCTAAAACCTTGGCTTAACCCTTCCTACAGTTTCCTGGGTTAAAATATAGCCTATTCCCTTCTCTGCATGACCTCCCCTTCCTCCCTCTCCTGTCCTGCTTGTCTCTCTCCATTATCACTATGTAATAAGGGCAAAATGCAAAAAATAAAAATACACTAAAATTAATTAATTAAAAAATCAAAATTTACAGTTTACAGCTGCTGTTTACAGCTGTGTGGTGAGAATGTGTTTCGGGCCTGTGTTCATCACGTAGCAAATCTACAAGTTATGTACTACGGCTGCTACGCTATAAAATCGGTGCTTCCCACAGAACTGTGGGTGTTAGTTGTGGCACTGAACTCTGATAAGACACTTTTTCAAATTGTAATCTCTGGGTTATCTTAAATGAACGCAGGTTACATGTTTGCTCAATAACAATGCCGCTGTAGTAATGCCATCAGGAAATATAGTACATGTTAAATAGTGTGTATTCATCTGACATTGCAATTATAAATGCTGAAAAACTGTGACAGGTTATTTCATCATATAGAAGTTACTACTTTACTGACTAGTTTCTGGATTTACTTCAGTTCAGTACCTTGATCCTGTGAAACTGCTGTTCCATGGCTCGCAGGCTGCGTTTGGCCTCCTCATCATGACTCTCCAGCTCAGCCTCCAGACGCTGAATCCTTCGCTCTAGCAGAGCAGTTATCCGGCTGGGCAGAGATGTCTTGGTTGCGTCCACATCTTCAGGACTATCAGCTGTGGCTGCAGCGTATATCAGAGCAGGCAGTGAGTTTGGGTTTCTGTTTCTTAGTATCTGCTCAAGCTCCTTCACCTAGTAAAGAAAGGATAACTCTTAAACAATGGAGAGGCATGGCTTGGTTAGTGTGGGGAGGGAGTATAAGAAGTCTGATTAGTTTGCTTGTTGCTGTATAAGAAACCTGTTGCTCCAAGTTCTGCATCTTCTTCATATCCAGAGATTTGTCTCTGGCCTTTCTCTGCTGCTCAGTGCTTCTTTTTCCAACAGCCTGTTTCAGTTTTTCTACCTGAAATGGAGAAAATATGTTACTTCCAACACAGTAAGCTAAGTTAAACTGCTACGCTGCGACTGGCTTTTAGCACACTTTCAGGTGGCTAAAATAGTTACTATATACGACAGGATACATTTAAAATAGAAACAGAAAAAATGACAATACATGTGTTCAAATATGTTTGATTCTGTTTAACATGTTACAGTGTTTCTGCTGTTGCAAAATGTAAAAGACCAAAAGGAACTCTCAACACCATTTTTTTTTGCCGACAGAAAGCTGCTCAAAAGATCCCCTCCTGTGAGCGTGACCCTTAAAGTTTGGAATGAGGAATCTGAACAGACTCTTCAGGACTGCGTCGGGAGCACAGACTGGACAGTGTTTAGATCTGCAGCTCAGAGAGGTTCTGTGGATCTAGAGGAATATGTTGCTGCTGTGATCGGATACGCCAGCACTTGCACAGACGTCATCATTCCGACAAAACGCTGCAGGATCTACCCCAACAACAAGCCGTGGATTAATGGGGAGGTGAAGTCCAAGCTGTGTGCCCGCTCTGCTGCTTTTGCCTCTGGTTTCTCTGACGGATACAAACAGGCCAGATATGACCTGCAGAGATCCGTCAGGCAAGCCAAGAAGCACTACAGGCTGAAACTTGAGGACTACTACACCACCTCAGATTCAAGGAGCATGTGGCAAGGACTTCAGTACATCACTGGCTACAGGCAGAGGAGCTCGTGGTTAGCATCCAGCTTGGCGGACTAGACGACCAGCTCAATGAGTTCTATTCCTGCGTCAAGGCCACCAACACCAGCTGCCAAGAGGAGCTGCCAGTCTCCAACGACACGCAGGATGTCCCTCTGTCAGTGACATCAGTGGAGGTGCGCCGGGCTCTGGGCCTGATTAACCCTTGGACAGCAGCTGGCCCAGACACCATCTCGGGCTGCATGCTCAGAGCCTGTTAGTCGGAGCTGGTTAATGTCTTCACAGACATTTTCAACCTCTCCCTGGTCAGAGCGAGTATTCCCTCCTGTTTCAAATCAGCCACCATTGTGCCCTTCCTCCTCCTCGGTGTGACACCATCCCTCTGTAGCTGGGTGCTGGACTTCCTCTCTGTCAGACCTCAGTCGGTCAGAGTTGGGGGCCGGACATCTGGCATCAGAAAGTTAAGCACAGGCTGCCCCCAAGGCTGTGTGCTGAGTCCAATGCTCTACTCCCTCTTCACCTATGACTGTGTGGTCACTCAGAAGAACATAGGAATGATCACCGGGGGAGTGGAGACGGACTACAGGGTTGAGATTGTGTGCTCACCAGCGCCATCACTGTGTGGCATGGAAACTGCTCCCTGCAGGACAGGAAGGCCCTCCAACATGTCAAAAAAACTGCACAAAACATCTCTGGAGTGGTCTTCCCATCGCTGCAGGACATCTACACCAGTACGGTCATCAGGAGAGCCCACAACATCATCAAAGACCACACACATCCACAGTACACACTCTTCACACCACTACGCTCAGGAAGGCGGTACAGGAGTGTGAAATCAAGGACCACAAGACTGTCAAACAGTTTCTTTCCTCAGGCCATCAGACTCCTGAACAACCTCAAACACTGACTGATCACTGCTGTTCAATATACACAACATTCCAGTTAACATGTGTCACCAGGCACTGCGCACTTTAAATGTATGTACATCTGCTGCTCCATCAGCTCACTGATGCCGTTACATGTAAACAGACAATATGCACCTTAGTTGCTGTCTCTTTTCATTTTTATCTATTTATATTATTGTTAGTCCTGTTTTATATATATTGATATTCTTTAAGATGTATATGGGAGTGTGCAAACAAGACAATTTCATTGCACAGTGTTAAACTGCTGTTGTTTTTTTTATGCTGCACATATGATAATAAATGTCTATCTATCTTAAGCATATGCTTTGGGAACTATCTTTTAAATTATAAATGATTTACTTTAAAATGTTTAGGGACCCAGAGCAAACTGTGGACCTTTATGTATGATCCAATGAGGAGAGGCAGGTATGATGTTTTCATGGATTATTCTGGTAGCCATGGTGATCTTGTCTGAAAAAAGTCCAATTTAAAATGATGGTAGGGATGATGATTACATGACCAAATACAATGTTGTTGTGAAGCTCATAAAAGCTATAAATGGATGTTAATGCAATGAAAAGAGTAGGCCTGAGGACTTTGTACTGAAGCAGAAGTTGCTGAAAAAGGGTATAATGAAGGTAAACATTCTAATTAGTATTTAAACAGCATGTGTGAGCAGAGCCTGACCTGTTCTTTGAGCAGGTGTATCTCTGCTGTAGCAGCCTTCAGCCGGCCAGCATCTCTGTCCAGCAGCTCCTGGTTCTCAGCAAACCACTGCAGTTTCTTCTTCAGAGCCACCACTTCCTCTCTGTGTTTGTCCTCCAATATCCCCATCTCAAAAGTCTTATCACCTGACACATTCAGAATTGATATATACAGTGTGTTTACCTGGACTAAGCATCACAGCAATAATGGGGTATTTGAGTGTAAGCATATTGTTTTTGTGTTTGCTCGTGTTACTTTTGAGAAACCTGTGTGAAAACCTTGCAATAATCAGTAACAAGGATGTTAAAATTTTATCTATTTCATCTCTATAGTGTTATGAAGTACCAGATTTCTCTGTGTTGATATATGTAAACCTCATACGACAAGTTTTAAAACAGAGATAGGTTTCATAACAGAGACAATCATGTCCATGTAAACACACTCAGTCTCAGGAAAACCAAACATTACTAGTAGAAAGTTAAAATGTCTTTGGAAAGTTTGTGGAATAGTACTGTTCTCTTTCATACCTGAGGTGGAAATGGCTTGGCCTTTAGCCAGGTCTCTCTCATTCTTCATTAGTTGCAGATCAACCACAAGAGCCTGGTTTTCTTGTTTCAGGTTCTGAATGTCCACACACAGCTTGGCCTCATTCCTCTGCACAGAGAAACCCATATCTATTGCGTATCAGGGGACTGACAGAGAATTTCACTTCAACGGTATTTCAGTGAGGGCAGCACTAACCTTTAGTGCCTGTATTTGAGCTAAAAGCTCTGTAATGCGTTGAGTGTGATCCATTCGGCACACATTACCGACAGGCCTTGAAGTTTTATTCAGCTGCTCCCTAATGAGAATGAAAGGGCACAATAAAACCAATGCAGAACACATTTGATTGCCAACATTAATTATACATACACAGACATATTTGGAAGATATGTAGAAGCAATGATGGTCATAGCTTAGGGAAATGCTGACCCCACCTTGTGAAAGCCAGCTCATTCAGCAGCCTCTGGTTTTCATTAAACATGGCCTCTTCATTGGCTTTACTTTTGGCTTGTTGAGCCTTCATCTGCAAATACAGCTTCTCGTTTTCCTGCAGAACACCTTAGGTTTACTGTGGTTTAATGGCACAAGATTACCGTTTTCAAAAAAATGGGCAAATGGACAACCCAAAAACAATGCTTTCTGCTACAGCTGTTTGCTGGTGCAGAGGCATATACATGTGTCGAGGAGAACTGGTACTGTTTGCAAGAGCAGAGGTGTTGTCACTAAAAACTGATTAGATTTTTGCTTGGCGCTTGGAGATACCATAGATATACAAAAACAGAAGTGATGAAATGAAGATCAAAAAGGAAGCCAAATTAAAATTCGGGACATAAATGAAGAGTGAACATAGTCACATTAAGACACAGTGTTCAGGGACACTTACCTGCTGGTAACCTTTGATAAGTGTCTCCTGCTCTTTTATTTCTTTGTCAATCTGCTGGAGCTTCTCCTCTGTAGCAGGGTCTGCAGAGCTCCTCTTCTGACGAGCTTCTTCTGCACTTCGCAGCTGAGGAGTGAAAACCTACAACTTATTCACTGCATACAGTAGCAGCACTTACATGTATCATGTCCTACCATGAGAACAGTGCACTGTTAAAGTGGTTGTACCTCAGTATGGCATGTGTGGTCAGCTTA